TCTAATATTTGCCTGTTGTCCCAGCAGAATTATTGGCAGTGGTCATATTGCTTAAATTCTCTCTCAGAGTAACCATTTTGGCTGATAAATTACATGGCCACCTATCAAATATCATGTCAATATCTACCTACATAAGGTTTTCTATATCAATTTCTGTTTCAAGTCATTGACTTTTTTGTATACCCATGTCCATAGAAACATTATTTATAATAGCCAAAAGGTAGAAGTAATCCAAATGTCCATTAAAAAACAATGGTTAAATAGGATGTGACATACATAAAAAGGAGTATTATTCAACCTTAAAAAGGAAGGATACAACATGGATAACCCTTGGAAGACCTATGCTAACACAGGAAGTAAAAAAGGCTGAGGGAAGAAGAGGATGGGGAGTTATTGTTTAATGGGTACTAAGTTTTCCATTTTATAAGATGAAAAGAACTCTGGAGATGAATATTGGCGATGGTCTCATGACAATGTGAATATACTTAATGCCACTGAACTTCACATTTAAAAATGAATAATATGGGCTCTGGGGTTGTGATTCAGTGGTAGGACACTCGCCTAGCATGGGTGAGTACTGGGTTTTATTCTCAGCACCACATATAAATAAATAAAAAATAAAGTCCATTGACAACTAAGAAAATATTTTTTTAAATGTACAATATGGTGAATTTTATGTTATGTATAATATGATCAATTAATGTTGCTAATTTAATGTTTCTATTTTTTTAAGTTGGCAACTCTCAATGACTACTTAATTACATAGTAGATTCCATTCTGGGGAATTGGTTCACTTTATGTTGCTACAATAGAATACCTGACACTGGGTAATTTATAAAGAAAATAAAATGGGGCTGGGATTGTGGCTCAGAGGTAGAGCACTTGCCTAGCACGGGCGGGACCCGGGTTCGATCCCCAGCACCACATAAAAATAAAGACATTGTGTTGTGTCCATCTACACCTAAAAAATAAATATTTTTTTAAAAAAGAAAAGAAATGTATTTCTTATACTTCTGAAGGCTGGGACATCCAAGATAGAGGAAGCAATCTGGTGAGGGTCCTGTTACTGCATCCTAATATGGTGGAAGGCATCACAGGGAGTGTGCAGATTTAGGTCTCTCTTGCTTACTTATGAAGCCATTAATGGGAGCCAGCCCTGTCGCCAGCTAGCTGGCCTGGAGACCTATGCTGGGTTCAAAAAATCTGGCTACATCAATAACTGAGAAAATGGCAAAGAAAGTATGCAAGAGCACAGAAATACCTTTTGAAAATCCGGGACAACTCTCGACCTTAGGGATCCATCGGAAATGAAAGAGCCAGCCACCTGAAAATCCTCTATTTACTCTGGAGAAAGACATTGGAGAATGTTTTACCCAAATGAGGCGAGGGATTGGGTTTCAGGGATTTGCCTGGCAATGTCCTGCAGTAGCAGATTTAACTGACATCTCTGAAAACCATGCCCATCTCAGGTGCTGTGTGGGATCAAAGGCAGAGCAAGCAAAAAGGACACATACTTTGCATAGCCCAATCAGAGAAGCAAGGTCAGTCCAGTCCCCTATACGCTCAAATGCTCCCAGCACACACACACAGCCCATGGCTGGCTCTTGACACCACCCCAATGTCTTTATCTAACACTAATAGCCAAAGGCATTACCTCCAAAACCATGGGAATATGAATTTGGGGATTTAAACTTCCGCTGCATTAATTTGGGGTTCAAATCATAGAAAGTTCCTTCAGCAAAATTCTCAGTGATTGCTACAAGAATCTCCCAAAGAAAGAAACTAAGCTCAGAGCATAGCTTCACGGCTCGGGTAGATAATTCACATGGCCATGTTGCTCCCAACCCACTTCTCCCCACAGCTAGACAGGTGTAAAAAGTGTGGCCTTTTATCTTTTTAATTGCTCCAATTTCTCCTCTGTACTTTTCTCCATGTCTGTAGTAGGAAAACTTGACTGAGTAGAAATTATAGTCACAGTTCAGGTATTTAATGTTCACTCTTTTTAAAAAATGCCCTTCCATCCTCTTCTCTCCATCTACCTATTACTCTCACACAGGAAAATAATCCTCTGCCCCTTAGTGTCACACAGCTGTTTGTATGACCTTTGGGGTGTCCAAATGTCACAATGGAAAGTTACTCACTTGCCACTCAATTAGCATTAGCATATGCCAGGTTCAGGGCTGGATCTTAGGGCTACAGGATGAATGAGACTCAGCCACTGCCCTTAGATGGCATAGATTCATGACAGATGACCACCAAAGAAAGGTAATTTTAAGACACATGGTAAGTGCAGTGATGGATCTAGTTCTGGGATACCATGGGAAGACTGAAAAAGTGGAGGTGAAGCCAGTCTGGGCTGGACAAGGAAGGTGGGCTGAGAGGGGCTGGGGAAGGAGATGGACAGATGAGAGCTGGGAGGTGACACAGTGTGTGGGCTCATTTTAACCAGTAGGGGGTTTGGAGTCAGAAGCCAGCTGGTCATGGCTGAGCCTGCACAATCTTCATCATTCTCTCTGGCCATAATCACTAACAGCCTTCTCTCCCTAGCCTTCCCCACCTCCTTCCCTCTCCTGCCCTGTTCCCATGGACACTGGGCTCTGGCTTTGCTCTGCTCCCCTGCCTGGCCTCCTTTCTCTTCCTTCTCCACACATCCAGACTTGAGAGTGTACAGATAGAGATAAGAACATGAAAGGGCGGGGGGGGGGCGAGGAAAAACTGCAAGAGAGCGTTTTCTCCCCTTTTCCAGAGCCTGAGCAAGCTATCTGCCTTGGACCAAACTGAATGGTGGTAAGACATGAACTGGTTAAAGCTGCCTCTCCATACCCCAACAGAGCTGTCAGTCCTTATGGACACCAATAAGGTCACAACCCTTCCAACCGAAAGGTCCCTAAACATATACAGTTCTCTGGAGATTGCCCACAAAGCTTGGGACCCTAGCATTAAACACAGGCAGCTTCCCATGTGATTCTTCCCCTTCCTTCTGTGTGTGGGGGTGGGGGTTCTAGGGATCAAGCCCAGGGACTTGTGCATACTAGGCCTGTGCCTTACCACTGGGTAGCCACATCCCCATCACATGCAATTCTACTGGATGGAATTTTACTGTTTCTGGGCCTCTGTACTCTCTCCTACACCTGCTACCATACTCACAGCATCTTTTCTACCCTCTTTCCTTCTTATGCTCTACCTTACATTTCAGTCTGCCAACAGCACCCACAGACACACAAGACCGGTGAGCCCTGGCCAGTGTTCCCAGACTCATCTAGAATCTCATCCAGTAACCTTGCCAGTTCCCTGGAGAAAGAATGGGAGTGTAACCCTTCACTGCACTAAAGGAAGTAATGTAGGGAGGAGTATACACATAGACGGTGGGCACAGTCTGAGTTACAGCAAACCGAAAGGAAATCTGTCCTTCCTCCTTTGGGTTCTTGTGCTGTAGAGCATCCACGTCCCTGTGTTTCCATCTTTGGAAGTCTGGCTCTTTCATTTCAGGATTCCATCCTATACACCAAGTGCTGCTGCCTCCACGAAGCAAACCAAGTGAAGCAAACCTACAACCTGCACCAGGTGCCAATTCTTTTCTTTTTCTGAAAAGATAGGCATCTTCTGATGATGATCCCTAGGCTCTTTCCTGAGGCACCCATGCTGTCCCTGTTGTGCCTGTGTTAGTCTGTTTTGTGTTGTGATAACAAAATACCTGAGGCTATGTACTTTTTAAAGAAAACCCGCTTATTTGGCTCTCACTTCTGAGGGTCAAGAAGTTCAAGATCAAGCAGCCACATCTGAGGGTCTCTCATAACATGATGAGAAAGCAGAAGAGCACGCAGAAGAGAGAGCAAGAGAAGTGGGGCTTGCTCTATAACAACCCGCTCTCATTTCTAGCCCACTATTGCAGGAAAGGCATTAATCCCTCTTAACAATCTCTTAAAGGCCCTACCTCCCAGCAATGCTATAAGGGCAATCGAATTTCAGCATGAGTTTCAGAGGGCACAAACCATAGCAGGTGCTAATTAAACAGAAAACATTTATGAGACAACTTCTAGGGGTCAGGAAGTCTTGTAAACACTCTTCGTGAGTTAGCTCATTTACTCCTCACTTATCATCACATTTTACAGTGTTGCACTCACTACTGAGGTCAAAGGCTAGCAAGAAGGCCTCTGATTCCATGACATCATCTGGGGAAAATAAGGCACATTCAACTGAGCAAGATGGAAAATAAATGCTACTGAGGAACACAGAGACTCTGTGAAGAGTTCAAAATGTTTAGAGAGCAAGGAGATGACTGCCATGAGGGAACAGAGAAGGTTTTAGGAACAGTTCCGGAGCTAGGCTTTGGTAAGTGGGCTGCAGCCATGAGATGACACAGAGGGCCTTGGTGCGGGAAGTACAGCACAAACAGGCACAGAAGTGGGAGACTGAGGGGAAATGGGGACGACAGAAAGTACCACTATTGGGCCAGAGCCATCTGAAAGGAAAATAGAGGAGGACACAGGTAAAGTGGTCTGGGAGTAGGAAGAGCCCTGTTCTGGAAGCAGATAAGTTTTTATTTTGTGGGCCAGGAAGGTTACTCATGGTTTTTAGCAAGAGCGAATCTTGATTAGCATTCTTTTGTAGGACACATAACCCAAAGTGGCTTATAGAAAGTAAAAAGTTAGAACCAAACCATGCCCATTAGCACACACTTGTGATTCTAGTTATTCAGGAGGCTGAGTTAAATTACAAGTTAAAGGCCAATCTGGGTAACTTAGTGAGATGCTGTCTCAAAATAAAATTGAAAAGGGCTGGGGACGTAACTCAGTGGTAGATCATTTGTCCAGCATGTCTAAGAGCCTAGGTTCAATCCCTAGCACTGAAAAAAAAAAAAAATAGAACATGGGATTTTCCAGGCACTAGAACTATTCTCTAAAAGTTTGTGATACATACCCATGAATATCTGTCATTGTGCACTTGTCAAAAGTCACAGAATTTCCATTAAGAGTGAGCCATGGACCCTATTCACCCAGATGGTGCTAAGTGCAAAGATGGAGAATCCTGCCCATCCCAAAGTTGAAGCCAAAGCAAAGGCTTTTAAGGTCAAGAAGGCAACGCTGAAAGGTGTCCACAGTCATAAAAAGAAGATTTGGCATCATGCAACTTCTGTGACCTAGGACACAGCCCAGGTACCCTCAGAAGAAAACCCTTAGGAAAAAACAAGCTTGACCACTACGCCATCATCAAGTTCCCCTGACCACTGAGTCCATGATGAAGAAAATAGAAGCTCATTGTGGAGGTCAAGGCCAAAAGCACCAGCTCACACAGGCTTGTGAAGCAGCTCTGTGATACTGGTGTATCCAAAGTCAACACTTGATCAGGCCTGATGGAAAGGAGAAGCATAAATTCATCTGGCCCCTGATTAACATCCTTTGGATATGGACTCATCTAAACAGTCTATTCAGCTAATTCTAAACATACTGGGTTTTGTTTGTTTGTCTTTTGGTTTTTGGTTTTTTTTAACCATTAAGAAAAAGAAGAGTAGCATACTTGCCTAGCACGTATGAGGCACTAGGTTCGATTCTCAGCACCAAATACAAATAAGTAAAAATAAAAGTCCATCAACAACTAAAAAATATTTTTAAAAAAGAAGAAAAAGAAGAGTGAGCCCAAGTGTAAACTACTGACTTTAGTTTAATCATTTTTCAGTATTGACTCATCAATTATAACAAATGTACCATACCAGTACAGAAATTATATAATAGGGGAAACTGCATGTATGATGAGAGGCGGGGCCTGTGGGAAATACTGTACTTTCTGACCAATTTTCCTGTAAAAGTAGAAGTGCTCTAAAAATAATGTCTGTTTATTATTTTAAAAATAAGTCTTTCATTAGCAATTTAATAGTGGGTAGAATAGTTGCTTATTCTAGCCAAGAAAACTCAGGCTTTTGAATGTTGCATTAATTAATTAATTAATTAACGATGATATTGGGGATCAAATTCAGGAACTTGTGCATGCTAGGCAGATGTTCTATCACCAAGCTATCCCTCCAGCCCTAAATACTGCATTTTAAAAGCAGTTATTTCTGAGGGGGCAGTTGAAAATTTCATATTCTACCTCCAAGTTCCTTTTTCCTATAAAATGTTCAATATATGTCATTTTTAATGTGTACCCTACTATAAAGCCCCAAACTAGAGGCCGTTATAATCTAACATCTCATCAGAATGGATGAGTTATCCCCACCCCCTCAGCACCAGTAGAGTGCATGAGCAGCCTCCTACTGCCAGTTCCCAAGGCCAGGTGACAAACTGTCACCTCCCCAATGCATTGTGTAGGCCAGTAAAACCCCTCCACCAATCTGCTCTTGGCCAGTGCCAGACTCTTCCCCTGGCTGAGGGGCCAAATTCAATAGTTCCATGTTTCCAATTCTGATTGTGTTATAATCAATAGTAGCAAATTGTATTCCAGAATCAACCAATTTGTATTCAGTTCACCTTCTCACAGCCCAAGCAGAAGACCTATACAGATGCTTCTCATCTTGTGTTGGGATTACATCCTGATAAACCCATAAATCAAAAATATGCTGTGTCAACAATGCATTGACTACAGCCAATCTATTAACCACTGCAGCTTAGCAACAGCATGCTGTAGAGTGTCTGTCAGCTGTTTGCCCTAGTGATAGGGCAGTGGCTGACTGGGCTCTGTGGTTTGCTGCTGCCGCCCAGTATCATGACAGATCAAACTGCATATTTTCAGTCTGGGAAAAGATCCTAATTCGAAATCTACAGTATGGTTTCTACTGAATGTGTGTCACTTCCTACTGTAACAGAGTCAAAGAATCCCAAATTGAACCAGCATAAGTTGAGGACCCACTGTAATTACGGAGGGCCAGTTACTGGGCAAGACGAGGGGATCCATGGGAAGACAGACTCGAGGCCAAGTAATCCAGGGAAATCAGCCAGAAAAGCCTGTTAGGCATTCTGGAAAGACCAGGCAAGAGCTAATTAAGGCTAATGAGGAGGGATAGCGGAGGGGATCTAAAGACAGGATAGTCAGACAAGGTGGACCATAATCTCGGCTACTCTAGAAACTGAGGCAGTAGGATCACAAGTTCAAGGTCAGCCTGGACAATTTAGCAAGACCTGGTCTCAAAATTTAAAACAATAAAATTAATGACTGGGTATGTAGCTCAGCTGTAGAGCACTCCTGGGTTCAATCTCTAGTACCACACACACACACACACACACACACACAAAATGGGACAGTTGTTAACTTGTTATGGTTGATCCTGTCTCCAGCTGATTAGGCCAAGAGGGAGAAGTAAAAAAGGGTCTGCTGGTCCCTATGGAAACCCTCAGGTCCCTATTGGCTCACCTCCTCTCTAAGGGCCTTCTCACTTACACCAGCATCCCAAAGCATGGAATCCAGCCATCTCTCCATTGGGCCACAGTATGTTGGGGATTTCAGAGGAAAAAGCAATGAAATATAATGAAGTCATACTTCACTGTTGCAGTAATTCACTCGCAGGTCAGCATGAGAAAGAAAGAAGAAGCAGAGCAAGCAAAGCAGCAGCAGGAAAAAAAAAGTCCTTTATTGTATACAAGCAATCTTTTTATAGTATTGTGAACAAAGAAGGTAGCCTTCCAACAGCAATAAATCAGGTCTTTCAGCTAATTAAACATAGCATACAGAAGTTTTACTTTCTAGTCAGAAGTGACCCGCTTCTCATGGCTAATCTACTCTCGGCCTGGAGCCTACCGAGCTCTGCTCTTGTTAAGAACAGATAATAAATTTTTTCTCAGCATCCTCCTAGCCCACTTGGCAGAACATCCCGTTTGCAGGCAAGTCCTCCCAAGGACAGCAGAACCTCGTTTTCAAGCATGTCCGCTGTTACCTATCTATACCTTGACAGAATATCCCGTTTGCAGGCAGACTCCATCAAGGACAGTAATAGTAACACAGTCACATCTGATTCTCTACACTTCATCAACTGAAAATGCAAGATTGTAACTATTTCATAGAATTTCTATTTTCTTCTTAATAGCTCCTGACATTTAAATGTTGAGCATTTCCTCAAAGACTGAATTAATCAGATTGTCTTAAATAACATTCAGTTGACAAATACAGTTCATCCTGGCTAATGTATTTTTCACACCATTTGCTTGTTTATGTTTATTGAATTGTCAGTCTTTTATCACTACTATTGAGTTATATTAAACTCGAGTTTCTTTTTAAAAAGAGATCAGTGGCTCAATAGTATTCATTGAAGCCTAAAATAATGATGGAAACAGTAATGTATATCCTACACATCAGAATAACCTATGAATATACATGGTGACCACGACTCAAGAATAGTGAAGAATGTCAATCAGGACATACAAGATTGAAAAAATCTGTAGATATAACTACATAAAATACAATATATATATAGTAGCACCATGTCCTGACCATACTTTTGCTGGATTATTATCTCTGGCCCATCCTAAAGTCCTTCCAGATGCTATAGCTATGACAAACTCTGTCTTTCCCCGAAGACACCCTTGTGAACTTTCAGGAAAGCTGAACATAATCAAATTCCTGCGATCCCCAAATTGGTCACTGTCTACTGGGAGCTTTGTTCCAGCCAGGGAATCATTTTCAAAAATTTTAATGCTTTGGCCAGGTGCAATGATGCCTCTGCTATTTGGGAGGCTGAGCCAGGAAGATTACAAGTTCAAGGTCAGTCTCTGCAACTTAGTGAGAAACTGTCTCCAAGTAAAATAAATAAATAAATAAAAGGGACTGAGGATGTGGCTCAGGTCGAGTTCTTGCCTAGCATGTGTGAAGCCCTGGATTCAATACCCTGTAACAACAAAAACAAAAAACAAAAAAMAMMAMMAMMAMMAMMAAAAAAACACAGAGAACTTTAATACCACTTTCCAGTCAATATCTTATACTCTTAAGTATGAAAACAGGGTATAAAATGTATGTGTATGATTTAAAGAATTTAAAACAACACCAACAACGTGTACTTACCAACAGGCTAACAAGCTAGATCTTAGAATCCCATGGGTGGTTTGTCCCATGATGAGCACCGCTCCCAACCCAAATCGTTCTCAGTTCTGTGGACTTCATTCTCTTGTTTTTCACTGTAATTTTGCCTTTGATTTGTGAGTCCCTCACACAACAGTCTGTGCTTTTGAAATGGAATAGCAAGCCACTCCTGAAAAGGGAAAATGATTTCTTTTGCCCATTGATTCTAAATCATAAGGTTTTATAAGGGACACAGAGGAACAGCCAGAGGAAGAGATGGATGTGGAAGGAAAGCATGGGGTGTCTAGGCTCCAACAAACCAAGTTTGAGAGTTGTTTTGTTTTGGTATTGGGGATCCCAGGAGTGCTTTACCACTGCACTACACCCCTAGCCTTTCTTATTTTTATTTTGAGACAGAGTCTTGCTCAGTTGCTGAGGTTGGCCTTGAAGTTGCAATCTTCCTGCTTCAGCCTTCTGAGTTTCTGGGGATTACAGGTACCACCATGCCCAGCTGTTTGAGTTTTTAACAAAGCTTGATCTCTCCTTTCATTCCTTAACCCTCACTCTCTTCTACTGAAATTTGGTAAATGTCCTTCTAGATGACTTCCTGTGAGTTCACAACTAGGCATATACATTCACTTGATAAATATATTATCTCTCTTCTATACATACAGTACATACATGGCTTTATTATATTTATATGGACTCATACTGCACAATGACATTAATAAGTATTCAATTAATACTATTTTATCAGGAAGTTAAGCCAGAGCACTCCCTCAGGAATGGATGTCAGGATCTGCTGCACTGCCTTCTGTTCCCTTGGAGAACAACCAGAGTCCCAGGCCTGCCTGCAGGGCCCTAAGAAGACAGGGCCCTCCTTCCTCCTCTGCTGCCCTCCCACCTCTCTTCCCCCTTCCCTGTCTCTCCTGCAACCTGCTCTTCCTCCAGCCCCACAAGCACATGGCCTTTGCCCTGGCCGTTTCCTCTACCCAGGTCCTTCCTCTAGGCTCACTCTCACCTCCTATAGGCTTCAGTCAACCTGTTACCTTCCCAATGAGGTGGACCTCCACCACCCTCCACCTCCCCCACAGCACACCAACCCCTTGACTCTAATCTAGTTTATATCCTTAGCACTTATGACTTCCAAACTGATTAATTC